GAGACCAAATCAGTCACTTTATCCGAGTTTTCTAATGCTGGACCAGTCCGGCAGCTGTAGCCGATAAAATAAACGGTTTCCCACGGGAAAAATAATCTTAGGTGCAAAATCCATGTCAATCTATAACTGTCCACTTTGAACATAGTTGTTCCCTGCAATAAAGGAAACGAAATATACGACCGATCACGCACATATCGTGTTCCCAGGATGATTGTCTCATTTGTTTCGTTTTTTGGCTTCACTGTAGAGTACAAGGTTACAACCCCAAAGACCGTGAGAGCTTATCCAAGCATCCCGATAACGGAGACTGGATTTTTAAAAAGTTAAAATCAAAACCACCACAGCTGCAGCTCCCTTTGCATTTCCTAGAACCTGCAACAAAATTACGGGAATTGGTTATTCATACGCGAAGTTCATAATCAAGTGAGTTTCGAATCTCTGAACTACAGCAGACATATAAAACATAAGCCATCAGCCGCAAAGCTGAAGCAAATGCATAATAATTTGCTCACCCTTCAGAAGAAAATAAAATTCCTTGTAAAACCAACTTGAGAGCTCTTGCATTGGTGGCTTCGACACACATGATGAAACCAAATAGATGGAAGCTTTGTTCACCCTGTGACCCTGGAAGAAAAATGACTGATAACAATCAGAAAACAGAACGCTAAATTAAAAAGTAAACATAGGTGAACAATGCAGATCAAGGTTCAGAATTTATTAAGGTAAAACGCAGACATTTCTCAATCCACACAAACAAAACAGGCATTCAACTATCAATGAATAGAACTTAAAGCAAATAACTCAAATCGTAGTGTTCTAAGTTTCCAACTTATACTTCTACTCGTACCACAAACCGTTCAACTATCGATGAATTGTTTACGACTAGACAATACTTTAAACCTTTCATGTGACAACAAAATAACCATATTAGCCTAATTGATATGAGGAATTAGCATCAGATTCTCACATCATTTCCCTCTCTATATGACCACTTGTAACCACAAAAAAGCCAGTAGAATTCAACAAATATACAGCAAATCCTTTCCACATCCCGTTCAAATGTAAAGAGTGAATAAACAAGTAAGCAGTAGCCAAAATGCATACCCCACTGGCAATGATGACCCCAGTAACAACAGGGTACATAAGTAAGCCAAGCCTCCCTCTTCAATGTCATCAAGTAAGAGAAAACCGCCGTGAAGAACGGCGACGTAGCGCCAATGGCCTGGTTGAAGCTCACCGGCAGGAACCTGATCAGAGACATGTTCCCCAACACCACAGACACGAAAGACTAAACTCAAAGCTGAGATCTTCAGGAACTGAACCCTAAACCGAATCGTCTGCATGGGGACCATCTTCATCCATGGTCAAGAAGATTGGGTATTTGAAGCCGTAATTTCTTAGTAAATACTTGTCAACGACACCAATGTTACGGTACCCGATCGTGAAAAATCACGAAATAGTTTTCATGGATTTGTGTTGTTTTGGTGTTTTGAGGACCTGGGTATCTTATTCCAGAAGGAAAAAGTGGGTTATGAAAATGGAATTATATGAAGTGGATACAATTAACTTCCGAGTATCCGATTCAAGGGTTCGAGCTTCTCATTATCAAAACAAGGAACTCCAAATAGAACAAAAAACATAGGATTCAACAAAAATTAGGAGAAAAATCAGATTTTGAAGAAGACACAAAGGGAAAGAATGTGGATATTTCTCTGCAAATTTCAAAGAGAGAATCCTAAGAAGATGACAGAAGGATTTTAAAGCAGGGAAGGTAAACGTTTTTGTAACTTTATTTTTCTTATTTAGTGGACTATTAATTAATTAAATATGTTCAAGTTTTAATATCGGATATTATTAATACTTAATTTATTGATTGAAAAACATATTAAAAAATTCATTCAAGAGGGGCCAACGGAATAAATAATAATAAGACATCAAAATGGAAACAAACCTAGCATCTGAGAGGCAAATGATGTTTCTCTGGGCGCACGTTAGTTGGACTATCGGGTCCTCAGTTTTTCCTCTTTGCTTCTGATTCTCTCTGCGTTCTCATTATTTTTCTTAGTTGGTCATTGATTTATCTGTATGGATTCGACGCACTTGAGTCTCGATTGGAGGAAATTGTTCGTGGGTTCGAATGATCAATCGCTAGATTTTCCCCCTGAGGTCCAGGACGGAGCTGTCACGGTTAAACCTCCACTTGAGGTGATTGAGGAAGGCATTGTTGACTGGAATCATGCCCTAGTGGGTCAGTTTATCGGCTCGGCTCCTAGTTTTGTTTCAATGCATCGAATTATTGAATCGATTTGGGGGAATTCTTCGCAAGTGAAGGTTAGTTTAGTTGGACCTAACCTTTATGTGTTTTTGTTTTTTGATGTTAATCTGAGGGACTAGGTGCTTGAAAACGGTCCCTGACATATCCAGAACAAACCTCTGGTTCTGAGGAGATGGGAACCTGGTTTGTAGAAACTCAATTTTGACCTAGCTTTTATGTCGATTTGGGTACAGCTATACAATATTCCACTCGAGCTTTACTCTCAAAAGGGGCTAAGTTACATAGCTAGTGCCCTATATAACCCCCTTTATATGGATTCCATTACTGCTTCTCGGGAGAGGTTGGAATTTGCTAAACTTTGTGTGGAGATTGAAGCTGGTGGTATTATCCCTGACTTTATTCATGTAATTCTAAAATATGGATCTTCTGTGAGAATTAAGGTGCATGTACCATGGATGCCTCAGTCTTGTGTTAAATGCAAAGTGTTTGGGCACCATGTCAATTCGTGTGTAGAGGTTCGACAGACTTCTATGAAACCCAAAGAAGTCCAAGTCTGGAGGAAGAAAGAAGGCCTTTACGTTGTTGAATCTGGTAGTAAGGAAAACTTGCATGTCAATGTTGATGGTCCTAAAGTGAAGTTTGCTAATGTTGTTGAGTCTCACAGTTCAGATTCTCTCCCTAACAGTTTATTTGGGGGGATTCTGCATTCGGATCTCCATGTTGGTATTGCTATGGAGTCTTCTATACAAGATCTGTAGGAAACCAGTGAGGTTACTCGAATTGCTGGCTTGGGGAATGTTTCTATGCAAGTTGTTATTACTGATAAGACCACTGTAATAGAGGTTCATAAGGTTGACCCTAGTGGACTTGTGAATAATCTAGGGGCTGAGGGAGTTGGTATTAATGCCTTACAGGATGTTGTCAAGCCTGGAGACTTCTCTTCTCTCAAGGATTCCATGAAGAAGAAGACTAGGGGGAAGAAAAAAGAGGTTGCTGGCTATTTTAGCAAGTCAGAATTCTTGGTGGATGGTCCCAGGAAGACTAGGGTAGCCTCTATGGGAGTAGCTATGTTGCTTAATGAGATCAAGGCTAAAAAGAGGGATCATCTTGATAAAGCCAAGTGTAATGTAGTGAATTTGGGCACTAGTTGTGATGTTCCTACTGCTTCCTGTTGATGATAATGAGCTTTTGGAATATTAGGGGGATTAATAACCCCCTAAAGTAGTTGAGAGTGCTTAAGAGGTTGAATTCTTGTGAAATGGATGTCATTTGTCTTATGGAGTCTAGGATTAGAAGAGATAATTCTGCTAAATTCTCTTTTGTTCTTTTTGTTGACTGAAATCTGGTTGAAAACTATAATTGTGTGGAAGGGGGAAGATTGTGGATTCTTTGAAAGAAGCAGCTGTCATTTGCTATTTTGAAAAGATGTGACCAGACCATTTCTATTATTGGAATCATTGATGGGCATAGAACACGAATTACTGTTGTTTATGGAAGCAATAATGATGCTACTAGAAGAGGTCTTTGGGAGCATTTGAGGATTGTAGAGAATGATCTTGGTTCCTCCCTTTGGGTGATTAGTGGGGACTTCAATATCATTGTCATTTGTCTTATGGAGTCTAGGATTAGAAGAGATAATTCTGCTAAATTCTCTTTTGTTCTTTTTGTTGACTGAAATCTGGTTGAAAACTATAATTGTGTGGAAGGGGGAAGATTGTGGATTCTTTGGAAGAAGCATATGTCATTTGCTATTTTGAAAAGATGTGACCAGACCATTTCTATTATTGGAATCATTGATGGGCATAGAACACGAATTATTGTTGTTTATGGAAGCAATAATGGTGCTACTAGAAGAGGTCTTTGGGAGCATTTGAGGATTGTAGAGAATGATCTTGGTTCCTCCCTTTAGGTGATTGGTGGGGACTTCAATATCATTGTTAGAGTAGAGGAAAGTTCAGACTTTGAGGTTATGAGAGTGCATAACTCCTCTGACATGAAGGAGTTCCAAGATTGTTTGGAGGAGCTTGATTTAATGGACCACCCTTTCCTTGGGCCTATGTTCACGTGGTCAAACAGGTAGGAAGGATCATTCTTAGCTCAGAAGTTAGACAGGGTTCTGGTTAACTCTCAGTAGTTGCTGGACTAACCTGAGTCTTTTGTTGAATTCAAAGCGCAAGGAGTCTCTGATCGTTACCTTAGGTTATTATGGACACATAAAGGTGTTATGATCAAGAAGCCTAGGCCTTTTAAGTTTTTTAACTGTTGGGCCTCACATGATAAATTCCTGAGCACAGTTAAAGATTCATGGCAAGGTCACTGTGAAGGTTCATCTATAAAAGTTCCTTTCAGTAAATTGAGAAGACTCAAGACTTTCTTAAAAGAGCTTAATAAGGAGCGCTTTTCTGATATTACAGGTAGAGTGAAGAGAAAAAGGATTGAGCTTGAGCAAATTCAGATTTTTAATCTGACTCATGTTGAGCAAAGGAGAGTTGATGATGAGAAAAGAATTCATGTTGAACTTGTGGATCTGTGAATCCTTGTTCTACAGACAAAAGGCTAAGATGCATTGGTTAAATGAGGGGGATCTTAATACTAGATTCTTCCACCAGAGGGTAGAGTCTAATAAGAAAAGAAATACCAGTAGAGTAATCAAATGTGAAGATGGACAATATTATGACACTTTTGATGGCATGGCTACTGAGTTAGTGAGATTGTTCCTTTAGTCATGAACAGTTTTATTGAGGATCTAAAAGGACTGCTGAACTACTCCTTTCCTGAAGGTGCTGCTGATTTTTTAACTAGAGAGGTGAGTGATTTGGAGATTAAGGAGGCCCTTTTTAAGCAAGGAAATGACAAAAGTCCAGGCCCTGATGGTTATACCTCTGGGGTTTTCAAGGTTGCCTAGGACATAGTAGGCACTAACTTTGTTTCTACTGTGAGGTATTTTTCCAATCCTCGTGTGTACTGTCTGCATTCAATGCCACTGCCATAGTTTTGGTGCCTAAATCCCTTAATACATGCTTAGCAAAAGAATTCAGACCTATCTCTTGTTGTTCAGAAGTTTATAAGACTATCACAAGATTTCTTGTTAATAGACTAGCCCCTTTCTTCCCTGGCATGATATCCCTTAGTCAGTCAGCTTTTGTTAAGGGTAGAAACATTATGGATAACACCCTGCTAGCTCATGAAATTGTTAAAGGCTACTCTAGGAAGAGCCTCTCACCTAGATGTGCAATCAAAATTGATTTACAGAAGGCTTTTGACTCTGTTAGTTGGGAATTCTTGTTGAATGTTCTTGTTGCTATGGGGCTCCCTAGTATTTTCTATAATTGGATTAAGGCCTGCATCACTACCCCAATGTACTCTCTCTCTCTCTTTAAATGGTAGCTTGGTGGGGTACTTCAAAGGAGCTAGGGGGATTAGGCAAGGAGATCTTTTATCACCTTACCTTTTTGTCATTGCCATGAATGTTCTGTCCACTCTTTTAGATGCTGCTATAAAACATGGTATCTTTAAGTTCCACCCCAAGTGTAGGAGAATCTCTCTCACACACCTTTGCTTTGCGGATGACCTGCTAGTTTTCTGTCATGGCTATTTAGATGTTGTGTTGGGAGTGCAAAGCACCTTAGATAAGTTTTACGAGCTGTCTGGCCTTAAGCTGAATGCTCATAAGACAAAATTGTATGTTTATGGTTTGAATGTGCTTGACCTGGAACAAATTCGATTGACTGCTGGGTTTAGATTGGGGCAGCTCCTTATGAGGTATCTTGGGGTGCCTCTAATGACTCACAAACTCACAGGTAAAGACTGTGAAGCTTTACTGACAAAGATTAAAGATAAGCTCTGGCAATGGTCTAATACGAATCTGAGTTATAGGGGTAGACTTCAGTTGGTTAAAATTGTATTGTTCAGCATTTTTAACTACTGGAGTAGGCAGTTGGTTCTTCCCAAGGGGATCATCAAGGATATTGAACGCCTTTGTATGTGATTCTTCTGGAAGGGCAGCGATTCCCCAGCTAAAGGAACTCGTGTGGGATGGAATCAGATTTGCTCCTTGAAATCTGAGGGTGGTTTGGGTCTTAGAAGCCTTGTGGTATGGAGTAAAGCATGATGTTTGCTACTAGTAAAACAAATATTGGCTAATGAGGGCTCTCTGTGGATTGCCTGGATTAAAGAGTATTGTGTCAAAACAACTAGCTTTTGGGATGTAGAATTCAAAGCCCACTTCAGTTGGATCCTACGCAAACTTCTGAGTATGCGAGAGGAGGCTAGACTTTTGTTCTTTCCTTGTGCAATTTGAGCCTTATTAAAGGAAAATGGATCTGGGACAATATCTGTGATTGCAGGGTGAAGGTAAACTGGCACAAGCTGATCTGGTTCCCTGCTCACATTCCTAAATTTTCTTTAATCTCGTGGATGGTCATACTTGAATGGTTGCCTACTAAAGATAGGCTTGTTCGTTTTGGTTTGGCTACTGACAATGTTTGTGGTTTGTGTGGCTTTGGCATTGAATCTCGAGATCATCTCTTTGCTGAATGTTCCTTTGCTAAGGAAGTGTAGGATATTGTTCTAACTTCTTGTGTTGTTCGTTATGAGTTGAACAATTGGGATGATCTTTTAAATTGATTGATTGCAAATTTGAAGGGCAAATCCCTCAGAGTTTGTATACTGAAACTTGCTTGGACTGGACTATTGTACTCTATCTGGGAAGAGCGCAAACATAGGCACTTTAGGGGCTCATCTCGCTCGGTTGAAGTAATTGTAAATAGTATAAAAGTGGTTGTGAGAGTCAAGTTGTGTAGATATGGCATGTCTAGGCTTGATGATGTAAATAGGCATGTATGCATAAACTAAGGTCTGTTCTAGCAATGTAATTTTGTTTGTTTGTAGCAGCTAGTATGAATTCTTGGATGAAATATAATTTACTTATCAAAAAAAAAAAATTCATTCACTTTTAAGTGCTCTTTTTGTTTGATTTATTAAGCGGGATTATTAAAACATCCCTACGTCAACATGCATGCATCGTGCTTGTATTTATGTAAAAACCGTAGTTGACTTAAATTAAAAGCAAACCAATTTGTTTGTAAACTTCTCAAATTTTGAAGTTAAAGCGAAAGGACGTTATGACACCTCGGGTACGAGTTCAAATAAATTTAAGCTCGTAATATCCTTTCAAAAGTTACAAATTAAGCGAATTTAAGGGTATAATGTCCTCTTCAAGAGGGTAAAAATCGAAAATCGAAAATTTCTATGCTTGATAGTTGCAACATTTTCTTTAAAATCTTCAACCATACTTGTACAAGAGTGAAACTATCATGCTTGATTTCGTTAATCCGACCTGTCTGAATCGGACTTCGAACATAAGTTTCATTAATCATAGCTAATGCAAACATGTCGAGTTCATATATGATAACTTTAGAGCTATCAACTAGTGATATGGAATCTCCAAGAAGTTCCAAGCTTGCGAAATTGGTTTCAGGAATAATTGATTACCAAAACTTCAAAGTCAGGAAACAAAAATGTTGAAGACAAAATCAGAGTTTCATCTACCGACGTAAAGAAACAAAACAACTGTTCGAGAACACAGACATTTTGACAAAGTTTTGTAAAACCTGGAGAAAAGGCAAGAGTCACTTGGTTCCTGTCAAACATCTAGAGACAACTGCAAGGAACGAAGACACAACATTAGGGTGATTGGTCTACAAAGGAAAATGTTCATAATTAGTTATTGTAATGTTCTCACAAGCAAGATACCATTAAATGAAAACTTAAAATCACTATAACGAGACATCCAAGCGATATACCATTAAATGAACTAAACTAAAGGTTTATACGGTTTTATAATGAATCATAATTGATGCAATCGTTATAACTTATAAACAGCAAACAGAGTTCACAGGCAAACTGAAACCATCATGAATCAAATTTGCAGCAAGCATATTCGCATGCAGTGATATCGCGGTGGCTAAAAGCAAACCGACGACACCTCCGTCGTCCCATCCGAGAGGGACCATGATGGTTTCAGAATATCCCAAGATGAATACACTGTTGATACCAGTGGTCAATACAAAACCTGCCTGGAACCATGAATCTGAAAAGCCACACTAAAGTAAGGCCAAGTGAACTAGAGACGAAACCGGAGCCTCATCAGATCAAAACTCACAAGAAACCATAGAAGAGCTTGATTTCAACAGGAAAAATGTGGCGAAATCCAACAAAATATGCAACAAAGTAAGGTCAAATGAACTCCAGACGAAATCGGATCAAAACTCACACAAGAAGCCATTGAAGAACTTGATTTCAACAAGAAAAATGATTTGAAATCCAACAAAATATGCAACAAAAGACCATAAAAGAATCATGATCATAATGAAAAATCCCAGAAATATCAACTTTTGTAGCATCAAATACAATCCAACAAGAGAAATAACAAGCAAAAGTGTTGAAATCAAACAAATACAGAAATTGAAAAATCCCAGAAAAGTGGAACAAAATTACGATCACAAGACCCCCCAAAAAAACTACTTTCCACCATGCAAACAATAATATAGAACAAAATCCCAGAATTAAACAAAGCGTTACAATCAAATTAGAAAAAAGAACAATCTTTGAAAATACCAGTGCTTATTTGGTGGGCTGTTTCAGGTACTTTCACAGTCAACTTTTCAACTTCCTGATCATCTCTCCTTTCTTCCACCATGTTTGGCTCTTCCTTTCCTTCCTCTTCGAAGAGCCACACAATTTCCCCTTGTTGGTCTCCGTTTTTATCTTCTTCCGCGAATATATCTATGAACGCCAGGGTTGCTGTTGGGATTACACCCTCTTTTTGTTTATCTGCAAGTGGATGTGCTACTGAATTCAATGTCAGAACTTTGCACAGTCAATTAATGAATTTGATTCCCAATAATAGAATGGTTTAGGGTTTTTAGCAAAGAATTAAATCAAAGAAATCTAGTCTTTTTTGTTAAAGAAACAAATTTTGTCGTGTTGTTTGGTGCGGGTAAGTAATGTCTCTCTACCTGATATCTCTGTTTTCCTTCCTGAAGCAGGCATATCCACGAGTATATATACATATATATATATATATATATATATATATATATACACACAAACATATATATAACAAATTATTTTACAGACGTGTATATATATATATACAAGTATGAACTAATCGAATTTAGTAATAAAGGAATCGTTGTTATCTCTCAAGATATTGAGTTTGAGTATTGTATTTACAAATATTTATTATCAAGTGATTGAAAGTCTTTAAATAAATATTATCTTTTATTTATTTTAGATTTATCAAAAAAATTTATTAAAAAAACTAGAAATAATATATTAAGAAAATGATTGAGAGTTTTTAAAAATAATGTTGCTCTTTTAAGAGGTTTTAAGTTTTAGCAGTTAGTCTATAGGGTGTAAATATTATCAATGACTTAGAGATATTGTGAATAGATATTACCCTTATAGCCACTACAAATAATTATAAAAAGTTTCTAAACTTTGAATTCATTGAATAGTCTTAATAGTTAAAAAGAGTGTTATTCTCTATAGAGATCATAGGTTTGATCAATTGCGTATGTAGGATATGTACATATCGTTCATGACTGAAAAATATTTTGAACAAATACTACAAGAAAAAAATTATACTTTAATTTGGTCATTTTGAGTCTTTATATTTTAAGTAAAATTATATTGTTAGTCTGTATCTATATATGAGTTGTAGATTTGATTTATCTTCTTCAATTTGTTTATTTTGTTCCTTGTAATTTATATTGTCGCTGCACTTTATGAGTTATCATTAAATTTTAAAATAATTTAAAATAAGAATTAAAATTGATTAAAATAGAGTATAATGATTAAAATCACAATATACCCATAATATAAAAACTAATGATAAATTTTTTCCTTTATGATAAACTAGTTTATGTTAAGTATAATTTTTTTAGTTGTGATTATTACAATGATTATAATTAAATTTATTATTATGATAATTTTTTATTGATATTAATTTAATTGTTATTGGTGTAAAAATTTATTATAACAAAAAGTAAAAATTTAGATGATAAATAATTTTATTGCTCCAACAAATATCGAATAATAATGATCACATCATATGTTATCACTACTCATTATCATATCATTTTTTTCATAAAAAGAACAATTGGCTCCAATTTAAGTATTCTAATAGTGTCAAAGTTTTAGTAACGATGAAATTTAATTCACCATTATATATTTATAATGAGAATTTAATTGTAAAAAAATTAATCATCACAATTTCTACAATAATAATGACGTAAAAATATATCATAATTACTTTTACTGATTGTGTCTAAAAAATATCACAAAAAGCGTAATTTATGATAAATAGTTATAATAATTGATAACTATCAATTTGTTACTAAATATTTTTACCGTTATAGTGATTGATGAGAATATAAAAGAGACGAGAAATTGATTAGAAAAAAATTGAATAAATTAAACTGAATAAAGTATAAAATTGAATGATTAAATTAAAGAATAATTTATTGTAAAAAATGGAGTTATGTATATATTCTACGGCGATAAAAGAGTATATATTATCAAATTCAATTAAAAAAGAATTGAAAAAATTAAAGATTAAATCTATAAAATAATCATTTTTTATTTTGAATTTGAGACTTTAAAGAGGAAAAACGAAGTCATATGATGGGTAGTTCTGTTGTACGAAAGCCTAATATAAGGTTAAAGGAATGTACAACCATAAATGTTAATATTTTTGAACATTTTTTATAGAGCGCTACTTAAAATATTATTTTTTCTACCGGAAATGTTAATTTCACTACCTAACATGAATATTTTCGATAGAAAAAATAACATTTTAAGTTGCATCAGATATTAATATTTTCAGTAAAAAATTACATTTTAGGTAGCATTCTACCGAAAATGTTAAAAAAATATTAAAATTTTCGGTAGCATTTTTTTTGGATAAGTAAGTTTTATTATCCATGAAAGCAGAAACCTGCTACAAAACAATCCAATGAAAGGAACAAAATAAGGGGAACCTATACACCAAAATCAAGCTATACCCCATTGATTACAAAGAAATAAATTAGTGTTATCTAATCTATTGATAGATCTATTGCTTAGATAAAGACCTATAGTTTACTTAATATATTGAACTATATCATCCTCTGATCTGCTAATGCCTCTGAAAGTCCTACGATTCCTTTCTTCCCAAATGGTGTAAATGAATGCACACCACGACAGTTTAAGAATGACAGTAATTAAAGATTTTCCCTTCCATGTCGCTGTCGCCCAAACCATAAGACTGGACCAAGAGAATGGAGGTTTACTGATGCCTAACAGCAGAAGAATGGAATTCCAGATTGAAGAAGAAACTTTGCATTCAGCAGAAAGATGGTTTCTAGTCTCACTACCTTCAGAGCAAAAGATGTACAGGTCATTAGTGATTAAGCCGAACCTGAGCAGCCTTTCTTTGGTGGGGAGACGATCCAGAATAGCCATCCATGAGATGAGGCTGTGTTTTGGTATGTGAAGGGGAAACCAAGTGATTTTCTGCCAATGAACCCTGCTTTCTTTCCTACGAACCTACTCCCAAATATTCTTAGAACTAGTAACTTCAATTAGAAGAAGAACGTTCACCATGAACCAAAAGTTAGAATGCTTTATAATATAACATTGTATCCATGCGACCCATAGAGAGCCATCCCCGGTAAGGATTTTCTTGATAAGGAGGATCAAGCACACTCTATTCCAGGTTTTAATGTCTTTAAGGCCTAAACCTCCTTCAGACTTAGGAGTGCAGATCGTGTCCCAACTAACCCGAGCACCAGTAGCTGGAATATCCGACCCTTTCCAAAAATATCTAGAACACATTTGCTCAATTCTGTTGATAATGGATTGAGGCAGTACAAGTTGTCTACACCAGTAATTAGCAACACTGAAGAGGACGGATTTAATAAGTTCAAGCCTACCCGCGTAACTTAGTTTAATCCTAGACCATTTGTGAAGTTTGGCTTGAATCTTGTCGATAAGAGGCTGGCAGTCTTTAATAGAGAGCTTCCTGGTGACCAAGGGGATACCTAAGTATCTTACAGGCAGACGCCCATGATGAAAACCAGAATAATTAATGAGATTTTGAATAGAGGGAACAGAGATGCCAACCGTGAAGATCTCACACTTGAGAGCATTAAGTTTAAGCCCAGAAAGCTCATAGAAATAATCCAGAACAGAAACAACACCCATGACAGAATCAAGGTTACCTTTGCAGAAAATTAAGAGGTCATCGGCAAAAGTAAGGTGAGTGAGGCCTATTTTCTTGCACTTGGGATGGAAGCTAAAAATTCCTCTGTCAGCTGCTTTATTAAGGAGATTGGATAACACATTCATGACCAGAACAAACAACATAGGAGATAAAGGGTCTCCCTGTCTAAGACCCTTAGCTCTTTTGAAATAGCCAACCAAACTACCATTAAATGCGATGGAGTAGGAGGCATTAGTGTAGCAGGCAGAAATCCATTCAATAAGAATACTTGGCATCTCTAAGGCATTGAGGATGATAGGAATGATGCCCCAGTGAATAGAATCAAAAGCTTTTTGAAGGTCAATTTTAAGAGCACACCGAGGAGAAATATTCTTTCTCATATAGCCTTTCACAATTTCTTGAGCTAGGAGAGTGTTATCAACAATACTCCTCCCTTTGACAAAAGCAGTTTGATTAGGAGAAATAAGCATAGGCATTAAATGGGAAATCCTCTTCACAATGATTTTAGTAATGGTCTTGTATATAACAGAACAACAGGAAATAGGGCGGAAATCTGAGACTTTGCAAGGGTTTGAGATTTTAGGAACAAGAGCTATAGTTGTTGCATTGAAACCAGGGAAGATGTAAGATTCTTGAAAGAAATAGTTCATGGCTTCGATCACATCTTCTTTAATAACAGTCCAAGATTTCTTAAAGAAAAGAGGAGTATAACCATCAGGACCGGGACCTTTATCATTGCCCTGATCAAAAAGAGCTTCTTTAATTTCCTCAACGGAGACATTCTTAGTGAGCCCCTCGAAGTGGTCAGGGGAAGAAAGAGGATGGAGCAGACCTTTAAGCAGAGGGACAGAACAATCTTTAACTTCTGGGTCAGAGGAACCCAAAAGTTTAGTGAAGAAATTGATAACTTCAGAAGACATTTCATCAAAAGATTCCAACCTTCTGCCTTGGTGATCAACTAAGAATCTTATAGTATCACGTTTGTTCTTAGTAGCTATGACAGAATAAAAGAATTTGGAACACTTTTCCCCCTCTTTCAACCAATGAGATTTAGCTTTTTTGTTGAAGAAACATTGACTCGGCTTCCTCAAGAGAATTGAGCTCCCTTTGCAGTTCGAGTTCTTTTTCGATAGGCTCTATACCTTTAAGAGAAAGAATATGTTGTTTCTCAACCTCTTCCTTTTTAATTTTTACTCGAGAAGAGATGTCACTAAAGATATCCTTGTTAAAATTTCTCAGGCAGACTTTAATTCTTTTAAGCTTGAAGAAAAGTCTCTTCAAAGGATTTCCAAAACAAGGTTGGTGCCAAGAGTGCCTAACAGTGTCTAAAAATCTTTGGTTAAGGGTCCAACAGTTGAAGAATTTGAAAGGCTTAGGTTTGTTCATTTGGATTTCTTTGTTGAGGGAGACTATAGCCATACAATGGTCAGAAGGTCCTGGGGCAAGGAATTCCACAAATGAGTTTGAAAAAGATTCGAACCACTGGGAGTTAATGAGCACTCTGTCGAGCTTTTTAGCAAGAAAGTTTTCGCTTTGTTTGTTGCTCCAAGAGAAAGTAGGGCCAAAATACGGATGATCTTGAAGTTGACGATCTTGGGAAAGTTAATAGAAATCAATCATGTCAGAGGAAGTAAAAGGACCCAGAAGCTCAAAGTTAGAAGTTTCATTAGGGTGTATAGTGACATTATAGTCACCTCCCAAGATCCAAGGGAAGTCAGGAAATCTGGATTCAATAAGTCTAAGGTCTTGCCAAAGGCTACGTCTAGCAATTCCATCATTGTGGCCATAGATCCCAGTAAGAAGAAAAGAAACGTTCTTGAAGAAGCATTTAACGGTGATACTTTGGTCAGAAATGTGACAAACAGATAAGTCAAGACCCTTCCTCCAAAGTAACCAAATTATACCATTAGCAGCATAATCATAGTTGCCTATAAAATTCCAACTATCAAATCTGGAAGCAAGAATAGCAGCAGAATTATCCATTTTGACACGAGTTTCCAGTAAGCACAGAAAATCAATGTTATTGAGAGAGGCTCTCCTAAGGACCTTACATTGTTTAAGAGGATTGTTTAATCCTCTTACGTTCCAAAATGAAATAATCATGTGGATTGAGGAGAGGAGACAGAATCCCCCCTTTTACTTCCTACTGGAGCACTTTTAGCTTTCTCATGGTGTGATTTCTTTTTAGCTTTTAAATCTTTGATCAATTCTGCAACCCCTGAAGCTGCAGCTCTTGGTTTTTTCCCCAGCATCTCGGACTCGGGATGAGCCTCTTCAAAAGATTTTAAGATCTCAAATCTATTCGAAGAACCTGCTAAAGTATTTTTGGTTTTAGACTTAGGAGGTCTACCCCGACCCCTTTTAGAAGGGGATGAAGACTTTTGTTCACAAATTACTATCTCTGAAGGATTAAGATAAGCAGTTTCAATTTCAGGTTCTGAAAGAGGGCAATTTGGAGATAGTATAGATGCACTCTCGGAAAGGATATCTTTTTCAGGTTGAGAGGGTTCAGAACCATGAGGAGTTCCAGTTCCAGTTCCAGAGTCCTTAGGAGAGGATATCTTAGCACTTTCATTTTTAGAACCCTGAGGAGATACAATTCCAGTTCCAGGTCCAGAGTCCTTTGTGGAGGATACCTGAGCACTAACATTCTCGGTAATTTTAGAGCTCTCTGCGAAATCAATACAGGTGTTTACTGGGGCATGCGTTGTAGAGGCTAAGGGATCATTTTTCCTCCAAACTTGAGCAGTAAGAGAGGGAGAAGGGTTAACCTTACAACTTTTAGTGTTGTGGCCAAAAGTGTTGCAAGATTTACAGCTTGGTGGAAGCCAAGGGATTTCGACAGTAACAGTAGAATGCAGACCATTATTAAGCATAACATCAATAGATTTAGGAATTACTTCAGAAACACCTACTTCAACACAGACCTTTGCATATTCCAATCTAGTCTTAGAAGCAGTGATAGAGTCCATTGACAGAGGATAACCTATTGCACTAGCAATGTAACTCAATCCTTCATTAGAAAACAGTTCTAAAGGAACGTTGAACAAGTGAACCCAAATCGGGATTCTGGATAAATCAAAGTGAAGTTTTTGCATATTTGGTTCCCATTTTCTCAAGATTAAAGGTTTATTATAAAAGTGCCAAGGCCCGTTCTCCATTACCCAATCACGAGCAGTATCAGATTCAAAGGAAAACAAGTAAAGGTTGGGACCTACGTAACTGACCTGGATATTGGAACCTTTCAGGGGATTCTTCCATAAGCCATCAATAATCCTTTGGAGCGAAGAGAAATTTGGAGCGGATCCCAGAAATTGCCCCACAAGAGAGTACTTCCACTCAGAGATTCCTCCCTCGAATACTTCTGGCAGTGGGTGAACCAACAGGGTTCCATTTCTCTCATTAGGGGGAAAGTATTGAAGCTGGTGATTTGAGGAACATTGAAACAGTTTACGCCAATCCATCTACAAACAAACAGAGAGGGAAGACAGAAGATAATGGAGAGATGACTGAAGGGAAAACGAAATCGATGCCGAAAAACAGTGAAATCCTCAGATCCCATTAGTCCCGCTAATGTGCGCCGAGAGAGTTTCACAAACGAGCGCCATTTTGGTAGCGTCTTTTTATAACCTTATATTATGATAAATTACGCGTTTAGTACTTAAACTATCAGTTTTGATTTATTTTAAAATTGTAAACACTTCAATGAATAATTTGAGTTTGATAAGTTAAAATAAAATGTCAAACACGGTCATCTCAAAATGACGAGTTCCAACCTCACTATAGAATTTGTCGTATTCTCCAAAAAATAATAATAATAAAAAACCTGGGTGCCCTAAATAAACCCGCTATCAGTAATCGGCCACAAAAAACCTGTGGGCAATTCAATTGCATTTGGGTTCATGGCAGTAGTAGTATCCCGTTGGTGATGAAATTTCTGAATCATAGTTTAGCCCCAAATACATATGACAGCCCAAGGTGGTGGCACATGAGAACCCAATCTATAACCTGACCTAAAAGAGCAATCCGTAATTCAAGTATGGAGAATCAATAAAAATATAGTCTTGGAGACACAATGATACAAAGTGGGGGCTGTTGTTAACCTCTCAATTCAGACCGTAGACAAAGCTTGCAGAACCAGTCATAATGGAGCACAGGACAAATTTTGCACTTACTATTCCATTTTTAAACTGAGTCCATGGGATCAAGTAGTACTTGGATAACGACATTCTAACATAAAGTAGAAGTTACTGATAAAAGCCTTCCATCAATAACTATTAGTTAATTATATGGTCGACAAAGCTCGACTTGCTCCTTACAAAGTATATGTGGAACAAAACTTAAGATTCTCAGCCCTAGGAGTAGAACAAAGACTAAGTTGATAGAATTTTTAAATATGAAAGGTTTAATTTATTAAAAAAAAATTAAATTAGGATCAAATTGATAGTATAAACTTTTAGGACTGAAACTATTGTTATACCACACCACGTTAGACTCTTGTCTCAATTTTAACGAGAGATTAACTTATTTGTGATAATTTTTTAATTGAATGTCTAAACTATAATTAAGAAAACATGACATGTTTATAACCAACCTAATAATTACGTGATCTGAAATATAGTTTACCTTAAATTCTTTTGATTCAATCATTGGGATCACTAATTGAACTGAATGGGTCTTGAATGATTAATTGAGAAATTTGAATGAAAACTTACTAAAATTTTGAATTGGGCTCGTCAACCCCTAAATTTGTAAAAGATTGATTTCAATTGGTGCGAGTAAAACTCGACTTGACTCGAAAAATTATTTTTTTAATTTTGAGGTATTCGAGTCAATTTGAATTTATCGATTTGGTTTTTGAGTTCGAGTCGATTTAAAATTTGGAAATTTCGAGTTACTCGGGAAACAAAAAAATTGGCTGATTATTTTGATGGTTTTGCGATTTAGTCCGTGATTTCCTTATTCCTTCAATTCCCCTCCATTTTAAGTCTATTTTTTTACTCAATTTGAACTGCATGCTCCTAAACCATCGTAGAATATCTATGTGATTTCAATTCCTATTTTTGATAACATTTTTTTATTTTTCAATTTAGACCCTCAACTTTTCAAGATTTTTTTATATCTTCAATTCATCAGTCATTTTAAGTCCATTTTTATTTACCAAATTTGAATCGCGTGCTCCTATAACACTACATAATACTTATATAACTTCAATTCCTATTTTTTTTACTAAAGATATACTCTCTCTTTTTTATTTAGTCTCTTTGCATTTTACGATCAATTTGATCTTTTGACTATAATTGTTTATAACTCTTTATTTCCATCAATTTCTTGACTCTTTAATACTCCATCAATATTTTACTCTCGAAATATATTCTTTAAAATATAATATTGTAAATATATTTTATAACTTTAGATTATATTTGATATATTAAATAATATTATAATATGAAAAGAATATATATATATATATATATATATATATATATATATATATATATATCTTAGAGAAATATAAAAAAATTGGAATCAATCCTTACATAATATTATAAATAATTATAATAAAGTTTATATAGAAACTCGAATAACTCGACTAAATTTTTTTTAAACTCGACTCGACCTGAAAAAATTTTAAGTTAAGTTCAAGTCACAAAATACGACTCGTCAACTCGAATAACTCAAAAAAAAATTACTCGACTCGATCAAACGCTAACCCTTAATTTCAATTCCTTTAAAACTTAATGTTTTAAGCTAAACTAATATTGAAATTATACTCTTATCCCTCATAAACGATAAAAATTTTAAAAACCATAAAATTATAAGTTAAAACAATAATAAATCTCCAATTTTTTTTGGCAGTTTCCCTAAAAAAATTGTTTAGTCCAAAGAGGAGACATTAGAACTACATATTTCACATTCAAAGGACAAATTGTACACTCTAATGTCCCAAAAAAATTATTCCTTTCCGAAAACCCAGCAGGGACCCATATTTTCTCACTAATTGCATTTTCATTTCAAAGAATTCAACTTTTTTTTTCTAATATATATATATATATATGCATCACAGTCCATCTTTCATAAGTTACCAAGTAATCAATGTGAACTCCTAAACTGGACAGAAAAATCTCATGCAAATTAAACCCAGCAAGACCTAAGAGAAAACCCATGCAAATTAAAGAGTTTCAAAGCACACCAAAAGAAAAACCAGGAGAACTTACGAAAGATGGACTTACATGATACCCGGAGGATGTCGAAGCCATTTTCTGCGACGAATTTTCCGGTTTCAAGACGAGTAAACTAGTTGGAGAGTGGAAGATATTATATGCATCAAATGCACATTTAAAGCTACCAAAGGAAGAATCCAAAGTGATAGCATGATCCGAAATCGTGATTTTTTTTCCTCGAGGGGAAAGGAAAATTAAGGATCAATGCGATCCCTTTGGATGCATCCTCTAGTTCTTGGAGGTGTTCAATCAGCTGATCACAAAACTCTTATTCGCTCTCTCAAAGACACCCTTCTTCTCTTTATTTCTCTTCTTCTTTCTTTTTCTTTTCTATCTTTCTTTTATAGAGGAAAGTGGGTTTTAGAGGAGACCTCCAATATAAAAAAGAGATAGCTAAGTGCTCAAACAAACACTAATTCTTTGATATATAAAACTTTTATACTCTGAAATTTATAGTTTGATCCTTTTTATCATACCTCTAATATAAAAATTATGATTTCGTATATAAAATAATAACAAATTAGATTAAACGGTCATTTGGTTGTATCTCAATTCGACAGTTTGTTTATTTTGATGATTATATATAAATCGTATTCTAAATGAATCTTTCAAAAATTAATTTAACCGAAAAATATATATTGAATTAATATAAAAGATGGAGACATATATATTTGATTTTCTAACCTATACCAAATAATACTTCTTAAGAGTGATTGTAAGTAGGGGTGATAACTTGGATGGGCATGGGACTCGAACTATAAGGGTTCTGGTTCGATCCGAACTGATCGGGTTTGATTTTTTTTTTTAAATTCGGGTTTAGATTGGGTTTTTTAGAGGTCATGTTCGGGTCAGGTCGGGTTCGGGTTTAGGGTGAAAATACCCAACTCAAGAAAAAAATATAATTTTCCTTTATATATTTAGGGATAATTATAATAATATCCCTCCATATATTATTTTTTCAATAAATCCCTATTTTTATTGAATAAAAATAATATTTTTTTAATAAATATATTATTTTGAATCGGGTCAGGTCGTGTTCGGATTTTATCTCAAAAGTCAAGTCGGGTTCGGGTCAGATGAAGGATGTAAAATTTTTAGGTCTGATCGAATCGACCAAAACCCGACCCGTACCCATCCCTAGATTGATAACGAGACATAATACAATGGATTTTTGGTTGATTTGAATCTAATCCAATATCATAATAATAAAATTTGATCTAATTTTAAAAATATTTTACCTGCTTTAGACCTTACCTACAAAATTAATAAAAGCATAATTCAACTCGATCCAACTTGATTTAATATAATTTTTAAATTTTCATATATTTTTTGTCAAAATAGAAAAATAAAATAATAATATAATAATATATTAAATTTTATAATATAAATTTAGATAATTTTACTTTGATACTATAATTTTAGTACCTTTTATGCTAATTATTTACATATATTTTGACCGAAGTTTAATTAATAATGAATAAATACATAAAATAGTAATTTTGGAAATATATTAAATAGAATAAGTTGTCCTTCAACTCGATCCGGTCAAGTTTAAGATAAAATCCAACCCATAATTTAAATTTTTTATATATATAAAAAATTCAACCCTATCAAATTGGATTTGTTTTGTCATATCTAATTGCAAGCACAGAGCTAGGGACCTAGTTCTATAAAGAATTAAAAGGTGGACCCTAATCCTCTAATTAACCAACCAGACACATGGGGAAGGTTTTCACCAGTAGTGGGTCTAAGCTATCCCTTAGAAGTTCCCAACAAGCTGGGTGGCCATTATTAATAAATCTTCCATTCTGTTGTTTGCTTATGAATTAGCTCATACTATTCTCATATGTAATAGGGTGAGGGGAGGCAAGGTAGTAGACTGTCCCCAACGTCAGGTTGAGAGCAGCTTCCGTGGAAGACATTCGACAGTCATAATTATGAATTACCTACCATGAGACTCGATCACACAACCACAAGATTAAGAGTCTTGCACTCTACCAACTGAGCTTGTTTTAATTATTGTTTGTGGTCCATTCCATGACCAATCTCTTGCACCAAACTTCTTTTGTATTTACTTATTTCTCAGGGATTACATTCTTCATTTCATAAATTTTATTATTTTTAGGAAAATATTAAATTTTATTGTTGAGTTATTTAATTGGTTTGCCTTGATTTTTTATTATTTTTTTCTAGAAAAAATTCCCTTTGTTAATCCTTTATTAAAAAGGCCTAACTACAAA